AACTATATTCTCGTTGGGTGCCCCTGTTAAAACAAGACTTATTATTATTTTGTATGTTTTACTCGTTATGTCAAAAACGGCCCACGCGAATAGACGTTCTTTTACTGCTCCCGCTTTAGCATTCATTTACGGCCGAGGTAAAGTTTCTAACATCCTTTCCAACCATTGGCATTAGCGTTATGACTTGTGACATGATGCTGACTGTACATTTCTGCTCGGCAGAATACTGCCCAAGGATGCAAAAAGTGCACTTCCGGTTGACGTGCGTCTGGCTCAAAACATCTTTGCTCAAGTTCACTATCAAAATGTTGAAGCCTTTTTACCAGGCTTTCCCAGCTTTGCTGAATAATATCAGGCAGAACTTGGTATCTCCACTTGTCGGTCTCACTTGATCTCCCAAGCCTGAGTAAAGGCGCCTGAATTCGTGGTATCCCGTTCACGCTCGTGGTCTTCATTCCCCCTAGTTTTTCTTAGCTTTCAAATACATGCCATGCAATATATTCAGTGATCTCCATACGTTATCTACATCTGATCTGCACTGACTTTACCCGAAAAGTGCGCAAAGATTATTCAGCTATGCATGTTGCCTGTTAAGGGGGACGGGGTAGGGGGAGGAGGGGGTGGGGCACTGGTTGGTGATGCAGTAAAACCCCGGTAACTCGAACTCTGAAGGGAAAAGAAGACGTAGTTCGAGTTAGCCAGGAATTTGATTTATCAGGTTAAATTTCAGTAAAGTTTTAATCAAGGGAAAGGAAATTTAGTTCGAGTTAGTGAAGAATTCTAGCTATGCGAGCCAATTATAGAGGTTCTACTGACCGTATAAATTGAATGATACTGGCCGTTGCCGTAAACTGGTCGCCTCTAGCTGACGGAAGAGGTTGCGTGCAGAGCTTCGACTGCATATAGAATGGTAAAAAATCATTGAACCCTATTACGGCAAAATATATATAGTCATTTGTTGGAGTGTCTCACAGGTCAATTCTTTTCTTCAGCCTTAGGCTTCCTCAAGTCTTATTTCGCTTAGTAACGCCCAAGAATTAAACTTATTAACTATAAAGTTACTTCAGATGGTAGTATCGCCAAGACCAATTATCTACTGCTAAAAAACGAATCTACTCTTAATTTATTTAAAGGCACAAGACAAGAAGGATCATTACGAAAGCTTAGGGCAAAAAAAATGTCACATAATCTCATTAAGTAAACATGTCGGCAAACTTTATAATCCTTTAAAAGCTTTCTCGTCTTCAAATATTTTTGTCAGCAGATCTCATTTTTGCTACAAAATCAAGCGTTCTAACTGGATGATCGCCTCGTGCCTACCTTTGCCCACGAGCAAAAGCGAAAATCAGAACCAAACAAAAATAAGTAAATAACACCTGTTTTACAGGCTAGAACAAGAAGCATACAAAACTACAAGCGCTTTTATAAATAACAAAGTATAATCCCTTTCGCAAAATGGCCAATTCAATTTTAATTGAAGACCCGGGGGATTCCCTTACTTCTTTAGCCTAAAAGGTTACGTGCCACTGAACAACAGGAAGTTGGTTTTAAGGTTTCACTATGGTGAGTCTCAAACAGGGTCAACTAATTCACCATTTAGCCTCTTAAACGAGGTGACTTTTGGATGGGATGCTTTTTAAAGAGTGTGAAAGTTGGGCCTACTTTTGTGCTATGAATAATCCTGATGTTCGTTTAAAAAATGCTTAATTCTGTGTGCGAAACGAAATGAGTTAGGGTCATAAAATAATGTCTCTTTGTCCTTTACAGGTTACTGTAAATCAAGTCTAATTACCACAAAACAAAACAAACCAACGTTCGTCTCTTTCTTAGTATTTGTTGATTGTCGCGAAAGGACACGCCATTTTGACGCCCTTCCTAAAACGGTGCATAGCTAAGGAATATTCCCAGTTACGGAAGCCAATCAAACCATGCGAATATTGCTCCTCAGGGTCGGTTCATAGTGCTACAAAGCCAGGACGCTTTGCGTCGCGTTTTATCTCCACCATTATTTACCTCCTCTTAGATAAATAGTTGTGTACCTATTCACCGATAAGAAACAAAATGAAATGGCGTCTTTTTTTCCTTTCTGTAATAGGTATAGCGGTACCAAACGTCTTAAAGCTACCGGAAAATTAAATTTGGCCAAATTAGCGATTCAGTTTTGTTTTCAGCTTGACTTATCTCTCGCGCTGAAAGCTGAAGAAGTCATCAAGCACGTAACTTAGGCAAACTGATTTTTCTCTATGAATTTAGGACAGTTGATTTACTTGTTATAGTCATTCATTATAAAACTATAGTTTTGGGTCAGATGACAGACGAAATTCGATGATACTTCTTTGTTATTGTAGAAGATTGTTTGTATGCAATGGTCACTATCTACGTGTAGTACGTGTATGTTTATACGGACAAAAGCCTTGGGTTTAGAAGTCACGTGGTTTGACGCCCAGGATTAGCTCCGTCTCTATTTTAGGTGTATCCTTATTGGGCAAAGGTGGCTATATCCTACTTGTGTTTCATCCGACCCAGATATAAAATCAGAGGAGCTCCTATGGGTCGGTGCAGGGTCGACATTTATTATACATTGGTACTCTTTTATCATAGGTGCACTGTTTTTTGGCTATTCTAACCTTTCATTAGTTCACCTCCGGCTAAAACGTCGAGGAAAAGTTTTTTCGGTTAGGATATGGTAGAAAGGATTGCTCTCCAAGGGCGATGTTGGCATCAGGCTAAGATAAAAGTAACAGTATATTTTTTAAGAAAACCATCAAAAACACAGAAAACTATAAAGTCGTGAAATTTATGGCATATAAAAACCTGCAAAGCAATAAAAGCCTTGCTAAATATAAGAAAACTGTGCTGTTGACGAAGTTCCGTACTGCGACGGTCCGGCATAACTTAACTTCCTATCACTTGATGTATGGGTATCCAAGACCGGGTATACCCATACAGCTTGCCACGCAGGCTAGCTTTCCTTTTTGATAGTTCAATAACGACACAGCATTTCAATAAGTACACAACAGATCAATAACCACACCAGTAGTTCAATGACTACACATCAGTTCATTGAGCGTAAACTACATGCAGCTGCGGGAAGAATAGCCACAAATACGTTAGTTATTTTTTAATAAGAATGCATAGCATTAAGTAAGTGGTAAATACTCACTTAGCTATGGTACGAGAACTAAATAGATAAATAGCTATGTTACACTGTTATCAAGTTCTAGTGAGCTCACTAATATAGACGGGAACATAGACTGATGTTATTTTAAAAAATTTTAGTCCGCTCAGAAGGTCTGTCATTCTCATCAGGGGCACAGTGAACAGAACTGGAAAGAGAGTCAGCGCCGAAAGGGTAAAGCCAACTTGGTCCGGAGAAAACTTCAACTAAATAACCCGACAACGCGCGCGTTAATAAAGCAGAAAAAAAATAACAGTTAACCGTGGATGAAATGTTGTTTTTTGACTCTCTTTCCGCACGTTTCAAACCGTGGTACCACAGCTAGCCCTACCTACTTGTTGTTGACTACCATCAACCTATGTTTAAAAATAGTTATTTTTACCGTACAAGTCCTGAACTTCCAACTTTCTTGGCTGTTTCAAACTTGAAAGGCAGCTTTTCCTGACCATATTTCAAAAATCTGCTTTCGATATAATAATGTCTGTGCAAATATAAGAGATCATAACAATTGCAGGCGATGCCTCAGCAAGGTACCAACAGTTTTCTTTCCAAAACGAATTAGAAATAAAGTTTCAAATGCGTCTAACTCACCGCAGCTTGAATAAAAACAACTGGTAGGATGATTGCACTTTGTTTTCTTCACTCGATGGCTTACGTCATTTCATATCACGCGCAATTTCTTCAAATGTTAACCTGCAACCGCCGTGAACTTTCGCGCGCAACTTGAAGGAGTTACGTCACAGTAATCCTAGTGTCCAAGTGAGGCCTTTTTCTCACTAGTTCGGTTTTCGTATTCCAAAGAAGATATAGAATTAAATTACATAAAGTTTATGTCTTTAAAAAACGTACAGCATTGTTTTAGTTAACCATTTCCATTATGGGCTAAGGCAAAAAAATACGTAAATAAATAAATATGATAAAGGTGACATAAAAACACACAAACAATTATTTAAATAACAATAATAATGAGTTATGACGGGGTTTTACAACCATGATACCCCGCCCATAAACATCCCTATCTGATTTTACAAGCAACCAAAAGGATGCCTGTCGCACGAGTGCAATGACCCTCTGCAGCCGTGAACAAGCTGACAGATCTGGCGCACAGCGCGCAGTTTAAGGGAAAGACATGGTTGCCATATACCAGAATAGCCCAGTATATGGATTCAATAGCTCAGTTTTCCTTTTTGTTAGTTCAATAACGACACAGCAGTTCAATAAGTACACAACAGATCAATAACCACACCAGTAGTTCAATGACAACACATCAGTTCATTGAGCGTAAACTACATGCAGCTGCGGGAAGAATAGCCACAAATACGCTAGTTATTTTTTAATGAGAATGCATAGCATTAAGTAAGTGGTAAATACTCATTTAGCTATGGTACGAGAACTAAATAGATAAATAGCTATGTTACACTGTTATTAAGTTCTAGTGAGCTCACTAATATAGACGGGAACATAGACTGATGTTATTTTAAAATGTTTAGTCCGCTCAGAAGGTCTGTCATTCTCATCAGAGGCACAGTGAACAGACCTGGAAAGAGAGTCAGCGCCGAAAGGGTATTCTTCCCGCAGCTGCATGCAGTTTACGCTCAATGAACTGATGTTTGGTCATTGAACTACTGGTGTGGTTATTGATCTGTTGTGTATTTATTGAACTGCTGTGTCGTTATTGAACTAACAAAAAGGAAAACTGACCCATACAGCACTGCAGGGGTGATTAAAGTTCCCATGATTGTGACGCCCCCTTTACAGTGTATATTTGTAGAATGCTATTCTCAGGAAATTGAAACAGCGCCAAAGTTCAAGACTCCCCTTATTAGGACTGGGACCTAGATACTTCTTCAATCATTATCCGGGACACTGAATTCCACCCAGTTTCAGCATCACCCAAGGTGTAGCTGCGACCACACTGTCCTACCCATAATTCCACTCTAACAGCGCCTTGTGGGATGTTTTCACAGTACCCCCCAAATGACCGATGATGCAGCAGATTAGGGCTCCCAGATGGCCACCAGTTGTAAACAACAGCCTCAATCGTCATTGGTCCACTGCATTCATTTCCATTAAACTTGAAATACCATCGGTTACACTTCTCACTACTTCCATAGACTCTCATGTTTCCCTGGAATGAGACTCTGAGCGCTGAATTAGACTGCAGTTTGTTAAACGCACAGTCCTAAAATAAAATCAAACAAATCAAACATATTGTAGCAAGGCGAGCAACAGTGTGTAATAATTGATACTAACAACTCCAGTCAAGATTACTTCCTAGTTTTTAAAAATTCTGTAATAGCTTCAATTTTCGTTGTCCTTATCCATATGGCCAGGAATCTTTTATCACCCAAGATTGTTTTCCCTTTTTTCGTTCAAAAAGAACAAAAGTAGAGAGAAATGTAACTTAGTTATTTATGTTATTTGTTGGCAAATGGTGAGTGAGAAGGTAGACGTTCGCCTTTGAAATATTTTGATTTAGAGAGGAATTACTTTCGTTTGGAGTGTGTTATGATTCTTATTCTAATTACCTTAATCTTTCCGTTATCAGTACTGGTGTCTCGTTTCCACACACATTGTTTCCAGTTGGTTTGTGGTACTACACTTGCTTGACTTGCTTTGGCGCTTTTTCTTTTCTCTCCTTTGTCTCCTTTTCTTCCTGGATTTCCCACAATGCCTCGCTCTCCTTTTATTCCGACGGTTCCGCGCACTCCTTTCATTCCCGGAAGTCCCTGTTGACCTTTCATTCCCTTAATTCCTCGTGGTCCACTCTTCCCAGGGGGTCCTTCGCGCCCTCTGTCTCCTCTTGGACCCGGCATTCCTTGTGATCCTTTATCACCAATTTGTCTTTTTACTCCTTCCCTTCCCCGGGGTCCGTGTGGCCCCGGGACGCCCGGCACTCCCGGTATCCCATTTGATCCTGGAATACCAGGGAAACCCATCATAGATCGCTGAAAGTAAAGATGACTTGTAATAAGCAGAGACGATTTTAAATGACTCGGGGACGGGGGGGGGGGATGTACTCCTCGGAATTTTTGGTGGGGATGTGCCGCCCGGTTCCCAAAATCCTGACTCTTTTTCAGACACGTCATTTTTACACTCGTTTTCAGTCTCTAAAATTCATACCAGTTTTCAGACCTTTCCTCTAACAAATTACGCATGTCACCATTACTTAGATTAAGAACAGCAACGAAAAGGAATTCGCATAATTATTTCTCTTTCCTTCTCATTTGGAATTGAAACGATAAATACGTTCATACACGCCCGTAGCTCCCTCGCAAACAATGATTCCACACCAATATGAACAAAGTCTGTACCTACCAGCCGCCTCCCTTGTTTTCGAGGTACGGAATGGACCTTGGACATCATAATGCTATTTAAAGTGTTATCTCGCCTCGAATGGACTTTGATGGAATCAGAGAAAATTAACAGCTAACAATGCACAGGCATAAGGTTTTCGAGGAAAGATCATGCTGAAGCGAGGACATTTAAATAAACTGCCATACACTTTTAACGGGTACTATTTACTAGAGACTAGTAAAACAGTTTCTGGGTGTACCTAATGCACGGCGCGGTATCTCTATGCATTTCTTACCTGGCATAAGTCTTTTAACTTTGAATCGTTTTGTTGCTGAGGTGAAGTGGTTGTTCCAAGTAAGCCGCCAAAGAAAGAGAGAATCAGGAAAACAGCGAAATACTGGACCATGGCGATGACAGTAGAACTAGAACAGAGCGTATTCTGAAATCAGTGTTACGTGCTCATTCATTTTATAGCAAATATTTTAAGTAAAACCTCTTTTCCTGTATATTGTTTGCTTGTTTTTGCTTGTTTGTTTTTCCTTTTATGGCAATTTTTTTGCATCTTCTTATTCCCTGCTTATAAGCCCTCTTCAGAGTACTGAAACAGGGTCAAAAGATGAACATTCCAAAAATAAATCACAGAACATAAATTGTTACAAAAGAAACAAAGTTTTATGCATGCTATCACGACTTTGCGTTTCTAACGGTACCCGATGCCTTTCCTCTTTAGAGCGCCAAAAATAATACTTTGCCTTCAGTCCAAGTTGGCCATGTTATGTTGTTATATCAGAAAAAGTGGCGGGTCCATTAAGCTCCAACTAAGCAAGCCTCAACGTGTCTAGTGTCAGTGTGTTTATTTTTAAACACTCATATCTTATACCTTGGAGAAGTGGTGGGAAGGGGGGGGGGGGGGAGCTGGGGGTTCCCTACAATAACCTATACGGGGAGGTTCCCCAACAGGGTACATCTTTCAATTCAGGACAGACTATTCCACGTTCTTTTCTTTTTGTCAACTTTTGATATAGAGAAGTTAAGCAGTTGGCACCACTGAAAAGAAAAACAGATTGATTGAAAACAGATGCTGACGTTATTATCGGCGCCATTTTCAAACATGATTCTCTTTTAGCGAGAAGCGTTTTCAGCGAAGAAAGCTCAAAATTTTGAGAAAAATGGAAAGATAGTTATGTTGACTAACTGATTTATACATCTTTGCCTATTTTTCTCTAACTGGTAAATGAAATCCCAGCAATAAATAACAAAAATAACGAATAGACGTTTGACCGCGGTGGTGTCCCAGGGTATCTTTACCCCGGGGGGAGGGGGGTTGGTGTTCTGTCGCACTTTGTAATAACATTGTCGCACTTGGCAATAACAGACCATCGCACTTTGTAATAACACTTGTCGCACTTTGTAGTAAACTCGAAATGGATGGTCAGAGGACAAGTAAACCCAGTAATAAGTATCATCATCGACAACAACAACAACAACAACTAAATAATAATGATAATAATAATATTCCATTGAACGGTTTTCTCACTTTTCTCACGTGGGGGCGGAGGAAAGTGTTCACATCAACTGCGACCTTCTGGCTTCAAGATATTTGTAGGAAAGTACAACTCTTTCTATGCGGACAACCTCGAGAAAAGATAGTGTCCGTAACAGCAAGAGTGCGTAGTGATATGATTTTGAATGGAATTTAGCTGCTATTCGTATTTGCAAGCTTTCCTTTAAAGTAAGTTGTCCTTGACTGTATAAGCAAAATATTTTGAAAGTTTTACTAGAAGCATGGAAGGGTATGACCAGAGATATAACGAGATTTTAGTGTTTATTACCATGAATACGTTATACTAATATTTCATAGAAACAAAAAATACAAACATCGAGCACAACACGATGCCACAATCATCATCGTCATCGTCATTATTACTGTTATTTTCTCACTGTTGCATATCATTTGCCCACGTCGTTGTGCCACAATGACTGCTAATTTTGTGGAATTTCGAATTTCCTAGAACCGACATGAAACAAAACAGATTCACAATAATCAGAAAATGCGACATTGCAAAGTGTGGCCCAGCTAAGATAACAAAAGTAAACAAATGCAAACATGAAAGGCAAATCTTAAGTACAATGATACTAACAAAAGATCACAGTCTCGAACGTTTATGCTCAATTTCTATCTTCTATGTAAGTTGTAACTAAGTTTTTTTTTTTCCTTTTGTTGCCACAAGTTCTTTCTCTCTAGCTAACAGAGCTTGGATGTTGCCTGTTTCGCCAAAATATCTTCATGATAATATGATGATAAACCATCCAAGATCTATATAAGTCAGTACCAGCGGAGCATTTGCCCATTTTTGATCTGAGATTACTCGCCGTAGTTCAAACATGACACCACTTGAAGGCCCAAGCATTGTTAATACCATATTTTCAATGCTGACATTTCTCGTTATACCCCAGCATTAACTTTGCACAGTTGATCGTAAACTTGACATCTGTGGGTATGTAGGTTCCAGATCCTTAATATTTATCAATAAATGACGTTGAACATTGTTTAAGATAATTAATGTGTTTGCCAAATTCTTGATTTTGTCAGACATCTTACCATTTGAGTATTTTTCGCTTTAAGGGAAAACTATGGAATTGGATTTGCGAGTAAATTCATAATGACATCAAATTACTTCAATGTGTCAATCGAGGTATGCCTAGATGTTGGAAATAAATAGTAAATTTATTACAAAGTGCGATAGTCTGTTTTTACAAAGTGCGACACCTTTTTTCTTACAATGTGCGTCAAGTGTAATTACAGAGTGCGACAGGGATTACAAAGTCCGACAATTCTATTACAAAGTGCGACGATTATAACAAAGTAAGACGGAACAGGGGTTCTTTGGGTTAACTTTTGCTAGGTATGTGCCGCAAGCCTCTCAGAGCCCCTACCCCATTAAAGTCTATTCTGTGGCCAATTATAGACCCCATCTTAGTCACTTTCTGGCAAATGTAATGTTCGCGATCCCAACTTAGTCACTTTCTATTTATGTATCTACCACTGATTAATCCTTTAAATAGGTCATCCTAACTGTGAATAGACCTATTTTTTTGGAAATTGAATGAAGAACACTTTACTTTTCACCTACAGTACAAACATTCTGGTGCGTACGTTTGCTAACCTAAATATAAAGAACTGTTGCACCCCAAGAATAAAGAAATGTTTGACCCCATTCTAGTAATAACTCTATTGAAAATGCGACCCCATTATAGTCAATTCAGTGGTGAAAATGCGACCCCATCCATCGGCGCATACCCATTAGTCTCTTATAAGGAACTACCCTGAAGACTAATGCATCTTGAAATTGATGATTTTACGAGTCTTTGTAGAGGGTCTAAATGGGGTTTAGTGTTTAGTTTTATTCGCCCATAATTTTCTAGTGTTTGCTGTTAAATTGGCCAATGTTTTTTTATTGTTTACTTTTTCCAAAGAAAATACTGTTAACTGTTTAAAGGGTTCTTCAGACATCTTTGGCAATGGTAGGACCTATTCGAGTGACTTCGGAAATCTTCGAAAGTCTTCTGGAATCTTCGAAAGTCCTCGGAAGTCTTCTTCTAGAATTGTCGTAAAATGGCCAAAAACTTCATGCATGACATACTAAACAAAATAATATTCGCCTTTATGGAGCCGTTTTTGCTTCTTTCTGGAAAATAAATCATTGTTTCAAAGAATTTTTAACTGTTAGTGTTAACATGCCTAAAATTTAACTTTTTCATGTTACAAAGCTAAAAAATAAAGTGGTTAGTGTTATCCAGGTACCCCCATTCAAGATCTCGTAGAGCGAGAAGGGCTGATGCTCTCACTTTTTTCAGCAAACCGCAAGTGTTAGAAAAGCACAAGTTGACAGACTTTTTGACAGCTCTTACTAGTTTTAGACCTTCTCCAGTTTCTTCTGCTATTACAAGGGTGCATTTTCCAACCGTCCAAGTTAACATAACGTCCACTGCCTCCTTAGAAAACCGCTCTGCTGCTGACGAAGAGTGCGCAATCATTTTCGTGAGCGATATCTTTGTTCCGCAACTTACGCTTGCGTCCGAGGCCGATTTCAACCAGCTGGTGAAGTACAAAAACGATTCCCATAGTATTGATGTTGATTCCACAGATTTTGACTGAGAGCAACTGGACGTCAATGGTCAGAACCTGTGATAACAAGATCTGGAAGACAAGTCAAATCGCGTATATGGTTTGATGTTTTAGGCGGTCGCAAAACAGTAAACCACGACATTAAGGTAAACTGAAAAACTGTTATTCACACAGCATCGATGTTACTTCAAATGTTTCAATGGGAACATTTATTGCCCTTTCACAAATACGAGTAATATAAATATACTTTCTTGTTTTATTTGTTTTGTATACGTCAAAGTACCGCAGTGTAGGAATGCAGATATAGACCAGAATGTTCCTGAGACTTAAAATTTCTTACAACAATGAAAATCAATTTTTAACTTTTTAAAACAATGGTAATTAATTTTTAACAGATCCGTTAACCGTAAGCTACTTGAAAATACTTGTCATGCAGTATATTCAGTGATCTCCATAATTCATCTACATCTGATCTCCACTGACTTTACCCGTAAAATGCGGAGAGAATATTCAGCTACGCATTTTTTGCATGTTAAGGGGGGGGGGGGGGGGGGGGGGGGGGGGCACTGGTTGGTAATACAGTAAAACCCAGATAACTCGAACTCTGAAAAGAAACGAAACGTAGTTCGAATTAGCGAGGAATTTGAGTTATCTGGGTAAATTTCAGTAAAGTTTTGATTAAGGGAAGGGAAATTTAGTTCGAGTTAGCGAAGAATTCTAGTTATCCGAGTCAATTTTCGAGGTTCCGTACTGGCTGTATCAACTGGCTGTAAACTGGTCGCCTCTAGCTTACGGAAGAAGTACCGAGCAGAGCTTCGACTGCATATAAAATGATAAAACAGTAAGTGAACCCTATTTCGTCATTTGTCGAAGTGTTTTCTTCAGCCTTCGACTTTGGCAAGTCGTATTTCGTTTAGCAACGCCCAAGAATTTACAATTTATTATTATAATAAGTCGCTTCAGACAGTAGTATCGCCAAGACCAATTTTCTGCTAAAAAAAATCTACTCTTAATTAATTTAAAGACGCAAGACGAGAAAGATTATAACGAGAGCTTAGGGCAGAAAAAAATGTCATAAAATCTTATTAAGTAAACGTGTCGGCAAACTAGAGGATGTTTGTTTATAATCCGAATCAAAAAGCTTTTTTGTCTTCTAATCTTTTTGTCAACAGATCTCTTTTTTGCTTCAAAATCAAGCGTTCTATATAAGATGATCGCCTCTTGCCTACCTTTGCCCGCGAGAAAAAGCAAAACTCAGAAACAAACAAAAAATAACTAAATAACACCTGTTTTACAAGCTTACAAGAAGCATACAAAACTATACCCGTTTTTAAAAATAACTAATTATCACCCCTTTCGAAAATGGCCTATTCAAATTTTATTGGAGACCGGGGGGATTTCCTTACTTCTTGAGCCTAAAAGGTTACGTGCCACTGAACAACAGGAAGTTGGTCTTAAGGTCTAACCAGTGAGTCTCAAACAGGGTCAATTAATTCACTATTTAGCGTCGTTAACAAGGTGAATTTTTCGGCGAGTTTTTTAAAGAGTGTGAAAGTTGGACCTCTTTTTGTGCTATGAATAATCCTTTTGTAGAATTACCTGATGTTCGTTTTAAAAAAATGCTTAATTCTGTTTGCGAAACGAAATCAGTTAGGGTCATAAAATAATGTCTCTTTATCTTTAACAGGGTAGGGTCAGGTTACAAAAATCAAGGCTAATTACCACGAAACAAAACAAAGCATCTTTCGTCTCGTTCTTAGTATTTACTGGTTGCCGCGAAAGGACAGCCCATTTTGACGCCCGTCCTAAAACAATGCATAGCTAAGGAATGTTCCCAGTTTACGGGAGCCAATCAAACCATGCGAATATTGTTAATCACTAAAAATGGCTAAACATCTACTAACTCCTCCTCAGGGTCGGTGCATAGCGCTACTATCTCCACCATTATTTACCTCCTCTTGGATAGATAGTTGTGTACCTATTCACTATAAGAAACAAAATACAATGACGACTTTTTTCCCCTTTCTGTGAAAGGTATGGCGGCACCAGACGTCTTAAGGCTAGCGGGAAATTAAATTTTGCCAAATTAACGATTCAGTTTTGTTTTCAGCTCGACTCATCTCTCGGGCTGAAAGCTGAAGACGTCATCGAGCACGTAACTTAGGCAAACTGATTTTTGTCTATTAATTTAGGACAGTTAATTTACTTGTTATAGTCATTTATTATAAAACTATAGTTTTGGGTTAGGTGAGTAACTAAATTCGATGATACTTCTTTGTCATTGTAAAAGGTAGTTTGTATGCAATGGTCACCACGTATGTGTAGTACGTGTATGTTTATACGAACCGATGCCTTGGGTTTTGAAGTCACATGGTTTGACGCCCAGGATTGGCTCCTTTCTCCATTTTAGGTGTATCCTTATTGGGCAAAGGGGGCTATATCCTACTTGTGTTTCATCCGACCCAGATATAAAATGAGAGGAGCTCCTATGGGTAGGTACAGGGTCGACATTTATTATACATTGGTACTCTTTTATCATAGGTGCACTGCTTTTTGGCTATTCTAACCTTTTTTTTAGTTCACCTCCGGCTAAAACATCGAGGAAACGTTTTTTCGGTTAGGATATGGTAGAAAAGATTGCTCTCCAAGGACGAGGTTGGTATCAGGCTAAGATAAAAATAACAGTATTTTTTTTCAAGGAAACCATCAACAACAACAGAGAAAAAGATAAAGTCGTGAAATTTATGGTATATAAAAACCTACAAAGCAATAAAAGCCTTGCTAAATAAAAGAAAACTGCACTCTTGACGAAGTTCGTACTGCGACGGTCTGGCATAACTTAACTTCCTTCCTATCACTTCATGGGTAGCCAAGACCGGGTATACCCATATACAGCATTGCAGGGGTGATTAACGTTCCCAATTGATTGTGACGCCCCCTCCCCCTCACCCCCGTTTCCTATTTTCTGACAAAAGAAACCCTGGGACCTCAGTAGGTCTTTCTTTATAAACGCACTCGAACAGGAAAGTATGCAAATAGCTGCATTGGATAGATCGATATTGAGAGACTGTACGGGTATACTCAGTTAAATTTTCGTTGTTTAAGGACATGCAATACAAATTAATAATGGACAAGAATTGTACATACTGTTAAGTACGACATTGTCTTTTATTGAAAGCTTCAATCACACATTAAAGCAGACTACACTGACATGAAAGAAATATAACAAAGATGCTATTTAAGTAATGGGAAGGTTTGACAAGAATCTCAATGTTTCGGGTACAAACATTCCATTTTCCCCCACTGTTTGAGAGATAATCTAGCCTGCGTGACAGGCGTTCCAAAGGAAAGAGGATTTTGGGCGCGTGAGAAGCACGAAGGGCGCGTGAGGGAGGAGGAAGAGGAACACGGCCCTCTCCTCCTTTCTCCCTTGCGCGCGGTCTCGCGCCTAAATTCCCTTCCCTTCCATTCTCTTTCGAACGCTTGCCACGCAGGCTGGCGATAATCAAGCTATCCTATTATCATACTTTTACCTTTTCAGCTAATTGTTATAAACTGTGCTAGGTGAGATTTTAATCCTCAAAGTTCTTATCCGATTTTAATCAGTCTGGATTTTAATAAAGGTTCATGAGGTTTTGCCTCAAAGTGTTTAGCTACAAAAGGAATCGTCTTTAAGGCACGATTTAATTAAAGATTTTCTAAAATATTTTGACGGCGAAGCTAAGATTATCTCTTGAGCATTTTTTTTTTTTTTTTTTTTTTTTTTTTTTTCAGATGAAAGATTATATCACGACGTTTGCTTTGACTGCAAAATCAATTTAAAGACTTAAAGAAATGAACGGCATTCTGGTGGTATTCATGGTAACCCAAGAGAGAATGGGTTCCCCTGAAGCTGTAGTGATATATTTTGCATTCACAACATATCACCTTTGAAAAGCATTGCCAATCAATCACTCTCCATGACAGCACCTTTTTTATTTGTATCGTCACGCAACGGGAAATTAAAGCTCGCTGCATGACAAGACAAAATGGGTGCATCAGGGACCAATTCCCTACGCGGTCAGTCGATGATTATCATGGTCGTCACGAAATGTGCCTCCCCACATAGAGAAGCGCTGCGTGACAGAACAATAAAATGCTGCAAAAAAGTGCATAAATAGGGGACTAACATGGCTACATAATTATAAAAAAAATTAAAACTGTTATAACAGTTTACAGGAGCCGAGGCTCCTCGGGTTTACTATTAATAATCTAATACGACAAAGGTACCCACAAAGGGCTTAAAAGAAAATAACCAAAAACAATACTTTTGTACCTTGCGCTTTACAGTCTATATTTGTTGAATACTATTCTAAGGAAATTAAAAGAGCGCCAAAGTTAAAGACTCCCGTTATTAAGACTGGGGCCTAGATACTTCTTCAATCATTATCCGGGACACTGAATTCCACCCAGTGTTAGCATCACCCAAGTTGCAGCCACTGCACTTTCCTACCCATAGTTCCTCTCTAAGTGCGCCTCGTGGAATGTTTTCACAGTACCCCTCAAATGACCGATGGTGCAACAGATTAGGGCGCCCCGATGGCCAGTTGTTGTAAACAACAGCCTCAATCGTCATTGGTCCACTGCACTCATTTCCATTGAACTTGAAATACCATCGGCTACACTTATAACTAATTCCATAGACCCTCGTGTTTCCCTGGAATGAGACTCTGAGCGCTGAATTAGACTGCAGTTTGTTAAACACACAGTCCTGGAATAAAATCAAACAAATCAAACATGTTATAATAGGGCGAGCAACCGTGTGTAATGATTGATACCAACAACTCCAGTCAAGATTACTTCCTAATGTTTAAAAACTCTATAATAGCTTAAATTTTTGTTGTCCTTATCCATATGGCTAGGAATCATTTTATTACGCATGATGGTCATACTATAGAACCATAGTAGAGGGAAATGTAACTTAGGTTCCATGTAACTTAGTTATTTATGTAATGTGTTCGCAAACAGTGAGACGGGAGAAATATTTTAATATAGAAACGAATTACTTTCGTTTGGAGTGTATTATTAATGATTCTTATTCTAATTACCTTAATCTTTTCGTTATCAGTACCGCTGCCTGATTTCCACACACATTGTTTCCAGTTGGTTTGTGGTACTACACTTGCTTGACTTCCTTTGGCGCTTTCTCCTTTTTCTCCTTTTCTTCCTTTATTTCCCACAATGCCTCGCTCTCCTTTTATTCCGAAGGCTCCGCGCTCTCCTTTCATTCCCACAAGTCCCTGTTGTCCTTTTATTCCTTTAATTCCTCGGGGACCACTCTTCCCAGGGGGTCCATCGCGCCCTCTGTCTCCTCTTGGATTGGGCATTCCTTGCTATCCATTATCACCAATTTGTCCTTTTAAACCTTCCCTTCCCTGTGGTCCTTGCGGCCCTGGAACGCCCGGCATTCCTGGCATGCCATTTGATCCTGGAATACCAGGGAAACCCACTAAAGATCGCTGAAAGTTAGGATGATTTGTAATTTATTGCAGAGAAAATTGAATCTACATACGGCATAACTCCAGTTTATACTATAATTGAATGTTAGTCACGAAAGGAAATACATCATTGCATTCTCTTTTGTTTGAGAGCCACAATGGACAATGAAGACATTATTCACCTTTAGTGTTCTATCTAGCCTCGAATAGACGTATCTGAGACTTGACGTATCATAATTGACCGCGACAGTGATAACTGGTTTCTTCTTTTTTAGAAAAGCAAGAGAAACTGAAAAATATATATTATCAGTATGAGCTAAACAATGGAAATTGTTGGAATCAGAGAAACTTAAGGTGGCCCCCAAGAGTAAATTGACAGCGCGCAGCCTAAGCACTAGTATGGCGCAAAAAGCCAGGGAAAAACATCCTGGCGACGAGTTTGATGGCGCGAGCTTTAAAAACCGCGCGACGTCCACGCAAAATTAAAACAAAGCATGGCTTCTCAGTTTCGAAATATTCCCAGAGAAAAACTTTATTGACTTTCTTCACGCTCATTATGCAAATAGTTTGGTTAGTGCAGGTCAAGCATTTGAGAGGAGACAATGTTATGCGAGTTACAATTCACTTATTTGAAACTAGGTCGAGCCATGTCCTAAAAAAACAAGAATGTCTTTAGCGGGAGAGCTCCTTGGTCAATTCATTTCACTTATTGCTGGTTTTCAGTGTCACGCCATTCAAAATAGATCAAAATAAAAATCAAAACCGTTCAATAGATAAAGTCCAGAATATGGGAAATGAAAGGAGGTACATATACAAATACCCTCACCAAGATTCAGGTCAGAGGTCGAATATTTCGTATACGAGATATTCGAAGAAATGTTTTACCCAAACTTATAGAGATTTGTATGGAGACGCCATGCTGGTGCTCACTTGGATGAGCTCCAACATGGCGGACGGAAACCAACAGAAACATCTGTTACCGAGTTTTGCTACAAAAGCGTACTAAATTTATTCTTCTAGAAACTCATAAACATTAAAGTAATACTTTTTCTAATACATGAACTGTTTAAATAGCAAAATTTCTTGAAATAAGTCATTTTTTTAACCTACATGACAGCTCTCTTGGCCGTCAGGTAAATGCCGCGTTACGCAAAAGCTTAGAAATTCAAGCGTACTCTATTACAAAACCAAGAACCCTTTTGAAGCTAAAATTTCTATGAAAATTAGATGATCTAACGCATCGTGATAGTAAAATCCCGGTAGGATCGATAGTTTTTTTAGTTTGAATTTTAGTGACGTCATGTGAAAAAGAACAATATTTTATTTGATTAAAGAAATGTTAATAGCAGGAATAATGACTTTAGGGAAAGATTACAGGCAGTGAACGTTTCTTTTTTGTTTTGCAGTCTATCACCTTGTTTAAGAAAACCGTTTTTCTACTAGCAAAATTGTGATGGAACCTTTCTAAAGACGAACCTATCATCCTTGTACTTTTTCTTGTTTTCAAAGATCCGTCAACGACCAAGATGTACAAGAAGATGTTTTCGCACGACGAAAAATAATTTTTGAGTCACAGACTGACCCTTGGCGAAAGCAATATTCCAGAACTACAGTCTTGTATATGCAGCAGAGGACGTAATGTATTTAGATCGATGCCATCTTTTACTGCAGACGTCCCCCCCCCCCCCTCCCCGGAAAAACTTCTCCCTCCCACATTATCTAAAGAAGAACACAGTTTTAAAAAAATATCTGGAAGCCTAAGGGGGCTGGTAATTGATCAAGATCTGCAAACAGTGTACAGCAGATTAGGAAATAAAGGGCTTATTGTGATCCTTGCACAACCACCTTCTTCATCTCCGATGACCGCCTGATCACCACGAGTGACCACCACGTCTCGAATTTTGGCTACAATAGTCAAGTATTTCGAAGAAAACATCCACTGTTGGGTATAAAATTGAATCCCCGATCTTGTCCTCTTAAAAATATCGAGATAACACCATAATAATAAACGGCTTTGAGAATGGCTTTCGTACTTTTCGAAGAAACCACTTGTTTTGAGTAGCTATGTGCATTATGCGCATGCGGGTGTAATGGCTCGCGCGTGTATTTGCTCACATTTCCTCAAACCACGCGTGGTCTTCCTCTAAAAAAGGGAAAAATAACCATGAATTTTCTCGCGTTCCCTTAGGGCACTTTTTTTTTAATTGCCTCATTTCTTACTAGTTTTAGTACCTTTGAATTGTCTTGTTTTTGTTAATTTGCAAGAGCTAGTTGCTTTTATTAAGAAAAGTAACAAATTAACCAACAAATTACTGAATATTGGAAAAACCGTCTTAACGACCCCATGTTTTTTTCCACTTTGAAATATTAAGCAATATTGTTAATATAATGTGGAAAAGACTGAAAGACATTTCACCGAGAAAAATTAGAAATATTAAGGAAAAATGATCAAAAATTATAAACTACTGTCTGTCCAAGGAAGATGTTGCCATGGCACAAACCTTTATCTAGAAAATGAAACTTGATAATTAGCGTTCTTATATGGGTGACCATAGCAGTGAATCTCTTAAACAAAATCACAAAGACAAACTTCTGTGTGTGTAACGCATGCTAGACACCATGGGTTGTATTAGTAAGTACTCTAGGGAGCCACTTTAACAGTTGACCTAAGACTTAAGGTTTTTAGTTATGGAAGACCATGTTGTAACAGGACTTTTAAATGTACTGGAATGCGTTTTATATTTAGGGAAGTTTTAAATATGCGTAAAGAATATATATGTAGCGATAAGAAAGCAGTAAAATGGTTTCTGCGTGTACAGTGTACCTAATTCACGGCGTAGTATTCCTTTTTATCTTTATGGATTTCTTACCTCACATAAATCTTTTAACTTTGGGGTGTTTTGCTGCGGAGGTGATGTGGTTGTTCCCAGCGAACCGCCAGAGATACAGAGAATCAGAAAAACAGCCTAATAGTGAACCATGATGAGAGCTGAACCATAACACTGCGATTACTTGGATTGGTGCTACGTGCTCATCAGTTAAATAGTGAATGTCTGAGAGTTAATCTTCTGTTCCTGCTCATTGTTTGTTTGTTTTTTGTTTGTTTTATTTTCCTTTTAAGGCAATTATATTGCTGATTCTTTGTCTCCGGTCATATGCCCACGTGCAGGGACTATTGAAACAGGGTCAAAAAGATGAAATTTTCAAAGGTAAATAACACTGAATTGTTGCAAAGGTAACAATTTTTTAATAATTCTGCTTGGTATAGCTTTATGTTCCTAGAGCCTCCTAACGGTCTCCCTAGCGTGCCAAAAACTTCAGTCTGTTAGTCATGTAAAGAAATAAAAATAAGAGATTACATTCAGTTCTAGCTAAACAAGCCCTTGACTTCTAAAGTAACTATTTTTATATTCCCTTATACTGCGGCTTATATCCACGTACCGTTCATGAAACTGAAGTTAGGTTACCTTTAATTAATTGGTCTGATTTTAAGATGACCCTCTAAGATAAACATGAGCGGTTTGTACGAGTAAGTGTTGTATTTCTCGAAAGGTACTCCTTCCTCTACTGCTGTCGCTGATGTCATAGAGGTGTGGCTGTTGTTCGAAACAAAATGACAATCAAAGCACTGAAAAATGTTTGGTTTTAAGGAAGTGTGTTTTGTTGCTGGTGGTGTTATTTTCATTTATTTTTATTAATACGCTACGTTATTCACACAGTTTCTACATTTTACCACACTCAGTTCAGGGAACTGAACAAAAACGTAACCACATTGAATAAGTATATTAAAAATTGGACAGTAATGATGACTTTCGTCTCCTGTCAGTGCTGATCCATAATCTCTCTGCTAGGCAGCCACAAACGAAAGTATAGCATACAATGTGTAAAAGTACAAAATGATTATTTTAAATATAATTGATTCAGCAGGCCGGGTTTACCATCCAGAGGAGCAATTCAAACGTTTTAATGCAATGAGCATACTGTACGTGCACACGCATAGAGCTTAAACCTTCGTGAAGGATGATACTTTAGTCAGTAGACAGATCTATATCTCCTATTATAATATATTAAGCAGCATTTAAGCTTAAGGTTAGTTTGTCTTTGTAGTGAGATATTTCATTCCTTTCCTCTCGTGTTGAATCGTTTCTTGTTATGACCTTTACAGCCCAAAAGGATACTTCCTTCATACAAAGCGACGTTTACGTTCCAGCACCTGAAACACGTGTAAGAAAGTTGAAGCCTTTTTTTCGTGTCTGAACAGGTCAAGTGAAAGAAAATCAGCATGTCAAGTAAGCTTTTCAATAACGACAACAAAGCAGCAACAAATGAATCTACATTGTACCAGCAGAGAGTGAAAAGAAACCTTTACAATAGAAATATATACATAGTTAGTAACTTGTATGTAATCAATGATGCTGACTGTCTGGAATAACCATGGAACTTAAAAGATCAGAGAGCCATAATCTTTATAATAAATTAAAATGATTTTAATAGTCGGTACATGACAAGATAATTACAAATTTAAGCACAATAAGGTGTTCCTTAAGAGGCTGCAGAATGACGTTCATATTTTTGTTATCATTTTAGACCCTGCTTACGTGGGTCCGGATAATTTTTTGAACGGACGCATTTTTTTACCTGGGTATCCAGTTGCACTAATGTTTAAGGACGGACCATTATTTTTTTTGACGGTGGGGGGGGGGGGTTGAAATAAACTGTTGCAGAGACTGTAAACACTGAAATAAATTGTATGATTGTATGCAAGTAAGAAAAAAAAAGTTTGCAGGAAGACGGAGACAAGAGAAACACAGATTGTAGAATTTTATTGTCTACTTTTAAATTTGAGTTAACATTTTTATCTGTATTTAAATTTTAAATCTTACTTTCGACTGTCATGCACATTTGAGCATTTTTATGAAAAATTGCGCAATATCAATGTATAATAATGATAATAATAATAATAATAGTAATAATAATAATTATTATTATTATTATTATTATTATTATTGTAACCATTATTGTTTTTAGCGGAGCTCTGGCGCGCGAAGCGCGATCTGCGGAGCAGCATGGGTAAGAAAATTTGGTAAACTACCCATCCGAGAAAATTTGGTAATCACGTGACCGTACACCGACCGACCGCCCGACCGTCCGTCCGCACTACAGGCCTACCAATGTAAAATAACTCAATCAATAGGTATGGCAACCCAAATGCAACTCGAGGTTATTTTGACGGGAAATCGCATAGCCACCAGCGTCTTGTAAAGCAGAGACAACTAAAGAGTCAATGAAGACGAAAACGGAAAGCGGAGATTGTTTCTCTATCCGTGTTTTCTAAAGTATTAAGCTTAGATTAATTGTCGTGTCCACAAATTTGGAATATAGAGCAAGAGAAACACAGGCGAAAAGAGAAAGTAGGCGGCAGGCCAGCGAAGCTCAACGAGAAAAAGGGCGACGGAAATCTAGAGCGAGAGATGAAAAACAAAGGAGACATTTTTTTGTTGGAAGAGCAACACGAAAATTTTGTAACGGCGATGACAAATGAGAACTGCTGGTGGCCACCAATGCAAGCTGAAAATGAGCGGCAGTGAAAAAAAAAGTGAACGAGAAAACGTACGACATTTCCTCCATAAAACGTGTAACTAAGACGTTTCTGGAAGTTTCACGTTGTGGTCGTGCAAAACAACGGCAAAGAAACGTACAAAAAAGGTGTGCTGCACGTGCAAAGTTGCTTTTTTGCTAATTAGACCTATTGTTGTTTTTCACTGTTCACCGGCGTTGCCTTCGCTGCAATAGCATTACACGATTTTCTATTTTGTTTGAACAAACTATAAATATTATCGAGAGCTTCGCTTTTAGCCCTGGCTAAATGTATATATTATTATTATCATTATCATTATCATTATCATTATCATTATCATTATCATTATCATTATCATTATCATTATCATTATCATTATCATTATCATTATCATTATCATTATCATTATCATTATCATTATCATTATCATTATCATTATCATTATCATTATCATTATCAGTAGCAGTAGCAGTAGCAGTAGTAGTAGTAGTAGTAGCAGTAGCAGTAGCAGCAGTAGCAGTAGCGGTAGTAGTAGTAGTAGTAGTAGTAGTAGTAGTAGTAGTAGTAGTAGTAGCAGTAGCAGTAGCAGTAGCAGTAGCAGTAGCAGTAGCAGTAGCAGTAGCAGTAGCAGTGGCAGTAGCAGTGGCAGTAGCAGTGGCAGTGGCAGTGGCAGTGGCAGTAGCAGTAGCAGTAGCAGTAGCAGCAGCAGTAGCAGTACCAGCAGTGGCAGTAGCGGTAGTAGTAGTAGTAGTAGTAGTAGTAGTAGTAGTAGTAGTAGCAGTAGCAGTAGCAGTAGCAGTAGCAGTAGCAGTAGCAGTAGCAGTAGCAGTAGCAGTAGCAGTAGCAGTAGCAGTAGCAGTAGCAGCAGTAGCAGTAGTAGTAGTAGTAGTAGTAGTAGTAGTAGTAGTAGCAGTAGCAGTAGCAGTAGCAGTAGCAGTAGCAGTAGCAGTAGCAGTAGCAGTAGCAGTAGCAGTAGCAGTAGCAGTAGCAGTAGCAGTAGCAGTAGCAGTAGCAGTAGCAGTACCAGCAGTAGCAGTAGCGGTAGTAGTAGTAGTAGTAGTAGTAGTAGTAGCAGTAGCGGTAGTAGTAGTAGTAGTAGTAGTAGCGGTAGTAGTAGTAGTAATAGTAATAAATTGCTTTATTTGCGTGACCGCATCATTTTACAGTATTGCAAAAGCATGTATATGACAATCAAAATATAAAACAAAACAGCACTAATAATAATCTAGAAAAATTCGGTTACATTACTAACAATGAATCACGTATTTTCATGCAGGAGGAAACAAACTTCATAACTAACTTATTTACATGATGTTCTTTCGAATTCTTTATCAGTTTTATGCTTTCTGGAGATGATTTCTTGTCAAAGTCAGGTATTATTCGATTGATTTGATCAATAAATGCCCGTCTCTGTACTGAGTATTTGTTACATTGAAAGAGGAAATGAATCTCATCTTCTACCTGATTTGAGTTACACAAAGGACATAATCTATTTTCTCTTGGCAAATGATCGATTTGGTATCGACCATGTTCAATCATAAGTTTGTGATTACTTATTTTAAATTTAACAAAATTCTGTCGTTCGTCATAATGTCTTAGCTGGTAGAGATAATCAGATGTAGAATATTCATTCGGCCTGATTTGTTTTCCAAGAATTTATTTTCGAGGCCTAATCTACTGTGATAAAGAGCCATTATAGCTCTTGAATGTGATAGAAGATGTTTGCTATTTTTTGGGTGTACATACATGTATATTTAGGCTATCAACTCGATGTAAGAAGTTTCACTCTAAAATAACTTATCCTTTCCCTCAAAAGTCACATGAATGTGCCCTTAAGTTAACTGATTTGTGGATTACAAGTTTATTGTTTGATATAAAATATAAATTTATTAATAGGAGCTTCGCTTTTAGCCCTGGCTAAATCTATATATTAATATGTAATTACCTTCAATTGGTGCAAGTTAAAAGACGACCCGGGGGGATTCGCTTACTTCTCTAGGGACGGACCATTTGAAAAGCTATGGGGGGGGTTGAGCCGCAGGAATCTTTTTTCGTTATCAAACTTCTTGTATGAATTTTTTTAGGCCGTGGCATGAATATTTTTTAGGGTTAATTGGCGTGCATGAATTTTTTTCATTTAATTTTCCCTTGCGCGAATATTTTTCTTGTACTTGCACCCCCCCATAAGTTTTCCAATGGTCCGTCCCTTACTTACTGAGCCTAAAAGGTTATGTGCCACTGAACAACAGGAAATTGGTGTCAAGGTCTCACCAGTGACTCTCTAATTCACTATTTAGCGTCTGTAACAAGAAGGTGGCGTTTTGGACAGGATGCCTTTTAAAGAGTGTGAAAGTTGGACCTACATTTGTGATATAAATAACCCTTTGTAAAATTACCTGATGTTCGCTTTAAAAAAGCTTAATTCGGTAAGCGAAACGAAATGAGTTAGGGTGATAAAATAATGTTTCTTTGTCTTAAACAGGGTAGGGTCGGGTTACTGTAAATCAAGTCTCTTTCTTAGTATTTACTGGTGAGGAACACCCATCGAGAATATAGTTCAAAACCACTTAAACATAGCATTGTTAAACGTTCATGTATTTTAGTATTTAAACGGTAGATATAGGCATATTTTTATCCCCTAAAAATTTTTCATCTGTTCGGATTTCCTAGCTGAAAGTCTAGTGATCCGAAAATTATAGGGATCAAGACTTACCTTTTCGAAAATTTCAGCCACAAAAAAGGCTCCCGAAAATTTTAGGTGACCTTTTTACGGTAAAAAGCCATTAAAAATGGGCAATTATGCCATTTTTTAGATATTTCAAAATCCTGGGAGAGGCAGGCTAGTAAGAAATTTTACAACAAATGTTCCGAAAATTCTAGATCTCAAATCGTCTTCCGAACAGATATTTCCTGGAAATTAACGTTGGGTGCCCCTGACTGGTTGTCGCGAAAGGACAGCCCATTTTGACGCCCGTCCTAAAACAGTGCATAGCTAAGGAATGTTCCCAGTTTACGGGAGACGATCAATCCATGCTAATATTGCTAATCACTGAAAATGGCTAAACATCTACTAGCTCCTCCTCAGGGTCGATGCATAGCGGTACAAAGCCAGGACGCTTTGCGTCCCGTTTTATCTCCACCATTATTTTTAAGGAAACCATCAATTCACAGAAATTTACGGTTTATAAAACCCTAGAAAGCAATAGAAGGCCTTGCTAAATAAAAGAAAACCGTACTCTTGACGAAGTTCGTATTGCGACAGCTTGCCACACAGGCTAGCGATAACCAAGTTATCCTATATATTATCATATTTTTATCTTTCAAGCTAATTGTTATAAATTTTACTAGGTGAGACTTTAATCCTCAAAATTCTTATCCGATTTTAATAAAGGTTTCTGAGGTTTTGCCTCAAAGTGTTTAGCTACAAAAGGAATCGTGCTTAAGGCACGATTCAATTAAAGATTTTCGAAAATATCTTTTTCAGATAAAAGATTATTACACGACGTTTGCTTTAATGAATGTAAAATCTTAACGAAATGAACGGCAATCTGGTGGTATTCATGGTAACCGAAGAGAGAATGAGTACCCCTGAAGCTGCAGTGATATATTTTGCATCCACAACAGATCACCTTTAAAAAAGATTTTCAATCAATGGCTCTCCATCACAGCAAATTTTGTCTCGTCACGCCACGGGAAAGAGCGTTACGTGGCGAGACAAAACGGCTGTGTGGAGGATCAATTTTCTACGCGCTCAGCCGATTATTGTATCGTCACGAAAGGTGCCTCCCCACAAATAAGCTAAAAAAGCGCTGCGTTACAAAACAAAGAGCTGGTGCATAAAGGTGCATGAATAGGATACTAACATGCTTGCATAATTATACACAATTTCAATACTGTTATAAGAGTTTACAGGAGCCTTGACTCCTGGAGTTTACTATTAATAATCTAATACTACGAAGGTAGCCACAAAGGGCTAAAAAGAAAATAACCAAAAACAATACTTTCGCACCTTACGCTTTACAGCCTACATTTGTAGAATGTTATTCCAAGAAAATTAAAACAGCACCAAAGTTAAAGACTCCCCTTATTAGGACTGGGGCCTAGAAACTTCTTCAATCATTATCCGGGATACTGACTTCCACCCAGTGTAAGCATCACCCAAGGTGTAGCCTCTGCACTGTCCTGCCCATAATTCCACTCTAACAGCGCCTTTTGGAATGTTTTCACAGTACCCCTCAAATGACCGATGATGCAGCAGATCAGAGCTCCCAGATGACCAGTTGTTGTGAACAACAGCCTTAATCGTCATTGGTCCACTGCATTCATTTCCACTTAACTTAAAATACCACCGATTGCACTTATAACTACCCTCGACCCTCATGTTTCCCTGGAATGAGACTCTGAGCGCTGAATTAGACTGCAGCTTGTTAAACGTACAATCCTGGAAAAAAAATCAAACAAATCAAACATATTGTATTAAGGCGAGCAACCGTGTTTAATGATTAATTTTAACAACTCCATTGAAGATTACTTCCTAATGTTTAAAAACTCTGTAATTGCTTCAATTTTTGTCGTCCTTATCCATATGGCTAGGAATCATTTTATCACGCATGATGGTTTTCCCTTTTTTCGTTCAAAAAGAACCAAAGTAGAGGGAAATATAACTAATTAGTTATTTATGTAATGTTTTGGCAAACGGTGAGTGAGAGGGGAGACGTTCTTCTTTGAAATATTTTAATTAAAAAAGAAATGAATTTTGTTAGGAGAGTGGTATGATTCTTATTCTAATTACCTTGATCTTTTCGTTATCAGTACCGCTGCCTGATTTCCACACACATTGTTTCCAGTTGGTTTGTGGTACTACACTTGCTTGACTTGCTTTGGCGCTTTCTCCTTTCTCTCCTTTGTCTCCTTTTCTTCCTGGATTTCCCACAATGCCTCGCTCTCCTTTCATTCCCACAAGTCCCTGTTGACCTTTCATTCCTATAATTCCTCGGGGTCCACTCTTTCCAGAGGGTCCTTCGCGTCCTCTGTCTCCTCTTGGACCCGGCATTCCTCGCGATCCCTTATCACCAATTTGTCCTTTGGGACCTTCCTTTCCATGGGGTCCGTGTGGCCCAGGGACGCCCGGCACTCCCGGTATACCATTTGATCCTGGAATACCAGGGAAAACCAGCATAGATCGCTGAAATTAAAGTAAAGATGACCTTTAATTAGCAGAGACGAAGACGACACGGGATCTTTAATAACTCGGGCGGGGAGGGGGGGAGGGGTAGTCCTGGAAATTCTTGGTGGGGGTGTACCGCTCAAATCCTGACTCTATTTCAGACCAAAACACGTCATTTTTTACACCCGTTTTCAGACTTGGCCTCTAAAATCCATACCAGTTTTAGGACCTCGTCTCTAAGAAATTATGCATTTCATCATAGTTAGATTAATTATCTTTTGGAATTGAAAGGATAATTCGGTTTATACACGCCCGTAGCTCCCACGCAAACGATGATTCCACACCAAAATAAACAAAGTCTATACCCGCCAGCCGTCTCCCTTGTTTTCGAGGCACGGAATGGACCTTAGACATAATAATCCTATTTAAAGCGTTATCTCGCCAGGTTTCAGGTTTTCGAGGAAAGATCATGCTGAAGCGAGGGCTATTAAATAAACTGCGATACACTTTTAACGGGTATTTTTTAGTAAATGATCATAACTACCTAATCTACGGTGCAGTACTTCTTTTTATATCTTTATGCGTTTCTTACTTGGCATAAGACTTTTAATTTTGAGGTGTCTTGTTGCTGAGGTGAGGTGGTTGTTCCCAGTGAGCCGCCAAAAAAACAAAGAATCAGGAAAACAGCGAAACACTGAACCATGGCGGTGAGAGTTGAACGAGAACACAGCGTTTTCTGAAATCAGTGCTACGTGCTCATCATTTTATAGCAAATATTTTAAGTAAATCCTCTGTTCCTGTTTATTGTTTGTTACTTTGTTTTTGCTTGTTTCTTTTTCCTTTTATGGCAATCTGTTGGCTCTTCTTATTCTTTGTTTATGAGCCCCCTTCAAGATACTGAAACAGGGTCAAAAGATGAACATTCCAAAAATAAATGGCAGAACATAAATTGTTGCAAAAGCAACAAAGGTTTATGCATGTTATCACGATTTTGTGTTTCTAACGGTACCCGATGCCTTTCCCCTTTAGGGGGCGAAAAATATAACTTTGCCTTCAGTCCAAGTTGGCTAAAAATGTCAGAAAAAGTAGCAGCTCCATTAAGCTCCAGCTAAACAAGCTTAACGTTTCTAGTGTGTCTATTTTTATACTGGGAGGCGCAACCCAAAAGTGTACCTCTTTCAGGATAGACCATTCCAATTTTGTTGTTGTTGTTGTTGTTGTTGTCAACTTTTGACATGGACAAGCTAAGGAAGCCACCGGAAATAACGTTTAAATTGGTAAAATTGCCAAGTTTGAAAGTGATTTGTTGAAAACCAACGAAGGTATACCTCCTCAAAGTCTGGAAATTTTACAGGCGTTTGCCTGACGGTGGGGGCTGGGCCCAAACTTGTTGTCGCCCTCCGCACGAGGAGCCGCAAGCGGTGATATTTTTGCACGGCATCTGACGGCACATCAAAGAATTTGGAATTGAAGGGCAAATTCCTAGAATATCTTCGCCAGTTAAGGTAGAGAAAAGGTGTTAAAAAACCTCAGGATCCTAAACAACACGTCAATCAAAATATCACCTGGACCTTTTCGTTAATGAAGAGCTATCACGCGGCTAAGCTTGAATTAGACATATATTGAAATAGGAACTCGTGTCAATAAAGTATCAGAAGTGAGTGGAATCGCTCCCGGATAAAAAAAAACTGGTTCACAGGGATATGCATCTCTGCTAGTTAAGAGAAAGGAATCAGAGCTGCTTTTCATGGAGGAACAGGTTTTCTTCGGGCTAACTACAAAACTTCAGCTTATTTTACTCCTTGACATTGTCAAAGCGCATTTGTAAAGATAACTTTTTCCGCTTTATCAGCTTTTTTGATATTCTATGCCATTAATGTTCAACCTCCCTCAAAAAGCCAAATAATATAAATGCTGTTGTTAAAAAAAGCGTTTTACCTGTTTTCGTGAATTCGCTACCCAAAGATCACTATGCCCAAAGGACAGGGCAAAATTTCCAGGAGAGAGGCATTATTTTTTTTTTCCCACAAGGTTAAAAAGAGAAAATGCAATGATTATTATTAATGTAACCATCAGGTATATTCTACCCACGAGGTTACGGACAGCAAATGCAGTGATTATTATTAATGTAACCATCAGGTATGTTCTACCCACGAAGTTACAAAGAGAAAGTGCAATGATTGTTATTAACGTAACCTTCAGGTATGTTCTACCCACAAGGTTACAGAGAGCAAATGCAGTGATTATTATTAAAGTAACCATTAGGTATGTTCTACCCACGAGGTTACAAAGAGAGAGTGCAATGATTATTATTAACGTAACCTTCAGGTATGTTCTACCCACGAGGCTACAGAGAGCAAATGCAGTGATTATTATTAATGTAACCATCAGGTATGTTCTACCCACGAGGTTACGGAGAGCCAAATGCAGTGATTATTATTAATGTAACCATCAGGTATGTTCTACCCACGAGGTTAGATAGATAGATAGATAGCTTTATTAAAAATCCATTGCAGCCCAAGGGCTGGATTACGGACTGTACAATACGTTGAATACTAAGACTAACTATTATAAATCAATAACAGTAAATAAATAAAACAAAGTAACAAAGATACTACGTCATGAAATTTAAGAAAATAGCCGCGAATTTACAATAAAACCATTAGAAAATAGCCGCGTTATGCATGATAAAACTATTCATTAGTCTATTTGTTCTACAAAGAGGCACGTTAAAAGCGCGCTTTCTCCTTAAGGCTACAGTACTAAGATTACGTGGCGGCAAAAGGCCATGTAATTTGTGGAGGCTGTTGTCCTTAATCTCATTGAATAGGCGCTCTGTCAGCCATTGGCGCCGTTGATGGAGGGTGGTAATATTGCACTCTTTGAGAGCCTCTTGATAGCCTAAATCTGGGAAAATAATTCTAAGTGCACGGCGCTGAATTTTCTCTAGCTCTTCAGAGAGATACTCAGGCAGACCATGGTGGAAAACTTGGCAGGCATATTCAGACATGGGCCGGATACACGTAGTATAGAAACAAAGTAGCTGCGCAGGATCTCCTTTTGCACGCTTAAGCTGCCTTAATAGATATAGCCTAGAGGCTCCTTTTTTGATAACATTCTCTATGTGAGCGTTCCACTTTAGATTGTTTGAAATTGTGAGACCAAGAAGTTTTACGCTAGTTACAACCTCAATTGGTTTGTTGTTAATAGTAACTGCTTCGAAAGGATCTACAGACCTTGAGAGACTTATCTGCAACTCTTTACACTTGGTCTCATTCAATTGGAACTTATCTATTTCGGCTTGCCTAACTAGGTCGTCTACAGCAAATTGGATTCCACTTGGTTGGCCCTTGTGGACTGTCTCGGCCATCGATGTGTCATCGACGTACTTCCAAAGGTTGACGCCATTGACATTGATGTCATTTATCATTACCAGGAAGAGCCAGGGCCCCAATTTGGTTCCCTGCGGAACACCTGCCCTGACAGATCCCAAATCCGAGTAGCGATCGTGGGCGAGTTTCACTCGTTGCTTCCTGTCAGTAAGAAAATCTGCAATCCAGTCCAGCACCCAAGGTGGTAGCTCATAGTCAGTAAGTTTAGCCATAAGAATGGCGTGGTCGGTGAGATCGAATGCTTTCCTAAAGTCAAAGAGCACCACGCGCACTGTAGCACCGTTGCCGTCAGTATTCTTATACCAGTTGTGGAGCATGCTGATTAGGGCATGCACTGTGCTGGAGTTCGGAACAGTTCCATATTGGTTCTGGTCAATCTTCGCAAGGACGGCAGGCTTGATGTAGCCGTCAACGACAAACTCTTCCCCGACTTTGGAGAGAATTGGAGTCAACGAAATAAGTCTCAGGTGTTTGTTCACATTGCTAACAAGTGAAGTCTTCGGGAGGGGTGTAATGTCCGCTTTCTTCCACGAAGTTGGAAGGCGACGCTCCAAAAAGGAAGAATTCAAGATGTCTGACACTGGTGCAGCCAATAAGTCCGCGTTTTCTTTTAATACCCAAGAGGGGATTCCATCAGGTCCAGATGCTTTGTTCGTATTAAGCGCCGATAGTTTCTCAAAGACTGAAAACTCAGATATCGGACGGGGAAGATCTTGTTGGCATGCACACGCGCGCGCACGCGCGTGTGCATCAGGCGTGACTAGAGGGGTGAAAGCGGTCATTGGTGACAAAAAAGCGTCGTTAATAACATTGGCCAAATGTCTAGGATCTTCCCCCTCATCGGCAAGATATAGAAGGTCTGCGATGGGGCTCGCGCGCTCGACCTTAGAAAAACCACTTAGCTGTTTGATTTCCTTCCACCATTGGGCAGGTTTACAAGCCTTAAGATCTTTGACTTTGGCATCATAATACTTTGCTCGACACGCCTTCCGATCTCTGTTCACTTTATTCCGGAGCTGTTTGTACTCAGCCAGATTGTTGTTGGCCAATGCCTTTTGCCGGCGGCGAATAAGGCGTTTAAGAGAGTTATTCATCCATGGCGCCTCGTTCACTGATATCGACTTTTCTTTCAAGGGCATGATTGGGTCCATTCCGGAAATGATAGCTTCTTCCATTAACTGTACTTTCTCATCACATGTATCTTTATTCTTTACAAGGTCGGCGATGTTGACTTTTTCCAAGTATGAACTCAGAGCGACCCTGTAACTTTCCCGCTGGTCTCTTGTAATGATAGATCGTTTTAGTGGTTGAGATTTACAGCGAGACAAGGTACAAAGAGAAAGTGCAATGATTATTATCAACGTAACCTTCAGGTATGTTCTACCCACGAGGTTACCGAGAGCAAATGCAGTGATTATTATTAATGTAACCATCAGGTATATTCTACCCACGAGGTTACAAAGAGAAAATGCAATGATTATTATCAACGTAACCTTCAGGTATGTTCTACCCACGAGGTTACAGAGAGCAAATGCAGTAACAATTATTAGATTTTAGTGCAACTATCAGGTTGAGTTCCTCCATCAGAAGAGTTTTTTGCTAGGATTAAACAACTTTGGCTTTCATGAGTTTCAAGGTGCAAGAAATTATCAGTATAATTATAGCACACAAACATTGTCATCTAATTTTTCGCACGTAGCCGGAATAAGCCAAGAAATGAAGCATATATAACGAAAAATCGTCCTCAGATGATCTCCATATTAAGTAAATTATACTAAACGTTGCGAAAGAAATTATCGTTTGTATCCGTCTTATCCATCGTAAAAGCGATGAGTCATCGCATGACATTCGGTATATTAAACAGAGGGTAATACTCACGTGTTTTACGAGTTGCATGCACTATTTTTCGCGGAGAAACAAATTTAAACTTCAATTCTTACCTTACATTAGTCCGTTCTTTTACCTTGCATTCGACAACAAATCTGTTAAAGGCGAACAAAGCGATTCCGGCACTCTTCTTTATGATGAGTAGCAAGCCGCAGGAACTGAAGCTATAAACTGAAGCCGCTTGACTGAAGTAAAATCAACCGATATGCACAGCATTCTCACTACAAATATAAACAAACGTCGCGGGGAAAAAAAGACGAGGAGGAAAAAATGCCAGTTCTTCGCCTCGGTAACGTATTCCAGCTACCATGCCGGCGTATCTCCAGAAGGTGGACTTGAAGTGGGACAAACCTTGTGATTTTTTGCGCGCAAACTAATTTATTCTGGCGCGAAATGAAGATTAACAATATGTATACTGAAATCTAATCCAGTCGACAAAAAGATTTTCGCACTGTAGCGCGAAATATTAAATGCCTATTTTTACAAGTACGCGGAGAAAGTGGTCCACTAGTTTAACTTTTTTAAGATGAATTTACTCCACAAAAGCAAAATGAAATGTTTTATCTCTATGCTGTTTACGTGCCTGATTAGAAGGCAGAAGTAAATTCATCATACAGACCCCATCAAAATGAAAGAACCCGAATGAAACGGAATAAGTCTAGGACGGTTTAGTTTCTACTCAGCAGCTTCTTTGCTTTTATAACAAAAATTTAGTGTTGCAGTCTATTTTAAACGTTGGCATATCAACGCGCACAGTCACTGAACGAAAACAACAGTCACGATCACGTTCTTCGAAACCGACCAGACGCGCTCGACCTACTACTGTTATGGTAAGCAATTATCCTGAAGGTGTTAATGTTCCCGTGACAGTCTTCGCACTGAAGGTGTAAATGGTAAACCGAACGGTCGCTTTGATCATCAGAAAGACCTGTCAACTTTGATGATTTAACTGATTAAATTACGGGACAGAAATTTTACTGCTTGCGGCTCCTCGTGCCCGCCCACGGACAAACGTCTGTAAATTTTTGCAACTTTGCAAAGCTATATCTTCGCACGCTTAAGACGTATCCCTTTCATATTTGGCAATGTCACAGCCACCGAAATTAAAACTAAAGTTAAAATTCATTGAATCAAATTAAACGCTACATGAAAATGAAAAAAGACATTGTGTTGGCACTGGATATGTGAACGGTCCCTTACCATAAATTGTCGCTTATAGGCCCTCGGATTGTACATGTACATCTTATTAAGGGGTTTTTAGAAGGCGCATAAACGGAGGGGCTTTTATTATCAGAATGGGCTTTCTTGATGGCATAGAAAAAAGCGCTTCGCAATAAGGTGTAGCATTACTGATCAAAATATATGTTTTTGCATTTAATGGTCGTTAATTAAGGCTTCAAAACGTCATTAGAAATCGAATTCAATTCGGTTCAAGCGAGAGGGGAGCTTATTTTACCCGGTGGGGATTATATTCGTTTGTTTGTTTGTTTGTTTGTTTGTTTTTTTCGTTTACAGCCGGGATATAACTGGAGAGGAAGGCTTATAAGTGCAATCATATAAAATAGTAAAACAAATAAAGAAAATGGATTAAAACTTTTTAATACAGTACATTTCTCTCCTATTTTTTACTCAACTAAGTCTTGAAATGGGGACGCCCCAAAAGTCGACGTCTCTTTTTATAATACTTGAATCGAGTCTGTCATTACCTTAAGGAGCCTGGCTAAAAAAAACTCACATACTGTAACAGCCGATTATAAGACCAGACCAATCTTTCTATACATGCTATTACACGTCTCCCCGAATATAAGCCCCCTTCTAGCACCAATTATAAGCTCCCCGGTGAGTTCTATTTGTTATCAATGACAATTTGAAGCTTAGTATAAAACCAGTGAATGGAAACCGTATTTTGATCAGCACCGCTTTAGCGTGTTTCAAAACTCGTTTTCTATTCCGATTTTATGCCTCTTAGGATATAATACCCTCGGAAGTTACAGGGGCCAATCAAAACACGCGAAAATTGCTAGAATAGCTAGCTACTGAAAATGGCATCTACCCCTCTTTAGGGTCGGTGCATAGCACCAGATAGTAATCGACGCTCATTGCGTCGCGGTTATCTCCACCATTATTCACTGCCTTTTGGGAAGATAGCTGTGCACCTATTCACGAAGAAACAAAACAAATGGTGTCTTAAAGTATAGCGGTACCAAACGGTAATGCTAGCGGAAAATTTAATTTGGCCAACGATTCAGTTTTGTTTTCGGTTGGACTTATATCTCGGGATGAAAGGTGATGACATCATCAAGTACGTGACTTGGGCAAACTGCTCTCATCTCTGTTCATGTAGAACGGTCCAATTTACTTATTATAGATCTTTAAACAATAGTTTTGGGTAGGCCACAGAGTAATGTAATTCTGTGATAGTTACGCCTTCTTGTTATTGTAAAAGGCGGTTTACATCCAATGGTCACTATGTAATACGTGTGTTTCTAATGATAGAAGCCTTGGGTTTATAAGTCACCTGCCTGGATGCCTAGGTTTCCGGAGGGGGTACTCCCTATAATGGCCTATAGGGGGAGGCTCCGCCCGAAAGGGGTATCTTTTTCAGGCTTCAGGTTCATGAAAGGGGAGGGATTTTACTCTTTGAAGTATACCAAAGGGTAGGGAAATCTGTCATTTGAGTCTGTTAAAGGGCCCAAATGGCTGACAGATGGATTTTATGGCTTTATAAGGTTTAGAAAACGTTCTATTTTTGTGATTAATTCCCAGTCAAATGACAGTACATTTACAGCAGTCAAAAGGAATGCAAAGTTCTAAAAGGTATATAAAAGGGTAAGGGGTTGGACCTAAGGATCCGTATAAAAATTTGTTGAGTACCCCTCCCCCGGGCCTAGGCTAACCTCCCTTCTTTATTTAAGGTATATTACATATATACTGGGCAAACGCGCCCATTCTATACCACAAACTTTATTGAATCGCAAATCTTTCGGTTTCCTCCGAGCTAGATTTAAAATCAGAGGAGCTCCTATGGGGTCAATGTTGTGCTCACACTAAGATAAAAGTGTAAGTATTTTCTACGAAACCATCAAAAATATAGAAAAAAAGATAAAGTCGTGAAATTTATGGTACACTGTATACGAAAACGAACAAAGCAATAAAAGCTCTGCTAAATAAAAGAAAACCGTACTCTTTACTGAAGTTCTTACTGAGGCTCACTTGCTGTAAGGGTATCTCCTACCGGGTATACTCATACGTTTTCCCCTACCGGGGCATACAGCACTGGTTATTTAGGTCCCCATGTTATTGTGACGTCCTCCCCTCCCATTATCTAGGTTAAGAAACCCTGATAACTGGGTACGTCTTTATTTATAAACGCAATCGAACAGACAAGTCTGCAAATGGCTGCATTGGGTACTGAAATCAATATTGAGAGACTGTACGGAGAAAATCACTGTTAAGGAGCAGACATTTTGAGTTCGATCTTATTTTTAAGGAAAAATAATGGACAAGATGTTACACTGATTGTCGTTAATTGAAAGCTTTAATCACACATAAAAGCAACCTGCAATGACATGCAAGAAATATAACAAAGCTGCTATCTAAGTAATGGGAAGGTTTGTTGACAATAATCTCAATGTTACGAGTAAACACATATTCCTCTTTTTCCGCTGTGGCAGACATTCGAAAGGGAAGGGAAGGAATGCTTTTGGTGCGTGAGAAGCGCTTAAGGGCGCGCGAGAAAGGAGGAAGGGGAACGCTTTCCTCTCCTCCCTTCTCCCTCGCCGGCGGTCTCGCGCCTAAATTCCTTTTCCTTTCCCTAATTTCGAACTCCTTCCACGCACGCTAAAGATAATCAAGTTATCCTATAATCATATTCATCTTCTTAGCTAATTGATATAAATTTTATGAGGTGCGATTTTAATCCTCGAATTCTAATCCCTTTTTAATAATGGTCTTCCCTCGAAGCGGTTTGGCTACAAAAGGAATCGTGCAGTGTGATTTAATTAAAGAACGATTTAACATTAAAAATCATTTTCACTTCCGGATTTAATTAAAGATTTTTCAGTGGAAAATATTTTAAATGCAAAGGTACAGACGTCCCCCCTCCGTGTGTTTTCTGAGGGAGGGGGGGGACGTCTGTACACAGGCTAATGCAAAGGTTATCTCTTCAGCATAGGCCATCCAAATAAAATGTTTTGTTTCCCATCGCCCTGTCTCTTGTTATGGTGGGTCGGTCGGTCGGGAAAAAAAAAAGAATGAACACTTGAAGGAAGGGGTCTACGTTCCAGAGAATGCCGGGATACTAAGTAAGAAAGCCTGGTTACAAAATCAAGTCGAAACGTGGCCTTTTCGACTATCAAATGTCTAAACAGCCTTTAAAAAACGTAGTATCGATGTTAATTAAAGACAAGCACATCACATCATACCAATTGATGTTAATAAAACAAGATCGTGTGCTCGTACTTGCTTCTCTGAATAGTTTCTTTGACTACACTGTAGTTAATCTGGATTTTTTTTTTTTTTTTTTTACTTTTCGAAAAAAATGGGTCGGTCGCGCGATGGGAGACGAAACATTTTATTGGGATGGCCATATTTGTTTTTCGCTGAGATGAAAGATTTTATCACGACCTTTACTTTGACTACATCTTTATAGGAAATGAACGACAATCTGATGGTATAAATGGTAAACCAAGAGAGAATTGGTTCCCCTGAAGCTTTAGTGATATATTTTGCATCCATAACATATCATCTACAAAAAGCATTGCCAATCAATCACGCAATCACAGCCATTTTGTCTCGTCACGCAACGAGGAGCGGTACGTTACAAGACAAAACGGCTGCATGGTCCAGGACACCAATTCCCTACGAGCTCGATTAGCCGATTATTGTGTCGTCACGAAAGGTGCCTCCCACAAAGGAACTAAAGAAGCGCTGCCTGACAAAACAAAGAGCTGCTGCACGGGACTAACATGTCAACATAATAATACAAAATCATGACACTGTTATAATAGTTTACTATTGACCATCTAATGCGACGGAAGCAACCACAAAGGGCTTAAAAGAAAATAACCAAAAACAATACCTTCTCACCTTGCGCTTTACAGTCTATATTTGTAGAATGCTATTCTAAGGAAATTAAAAAAGCGCCGAAGGTAAAGACTCCCGTCATTAGGACTGGGGCCTAGATACTTCTTCAATCATTATCCGGGACACTGATATCCACCCAGTATCAGCATCACCCAGGGTTTGGCCACTACACTTTCCTACCCATAATTCCACTCTAACTGCGCCTTGTGGAATGTTTTCACAGTACCCCTCAAATGACCGATGATGATACAGCTCATAACGGTTCACAGATGACCAGATGTTGAGAACAGCAGCCTCAATCGTCATTGGTCCACTGCATTCATTTCCATTGAACTTGAAATACCAGCGGTTACACTTATATTCACCAACGACCATCGTGTTTCCCTGGAATGAGACTCTGAGCGCTGAATTAGACTGCAGTTTGTTAAACGCACAGTCCTGGAATAAAAGCAAACAAATCAAACATATTGTAATAAGGCGAGCAACCGTGTGTAATGATTGATACTAACAACTCCAGTCATGATTACTTCCTAATTTTTGAAAACTCTGTAATAGCTTAAATTTTTGTTGTCCTTATCCATATGGTCTGATCATTTTATCACGCGCGATGTTTTTTTTTTTTTTTTTCGTTCAAAAAAGAACCAAAGTAGAGGGAAATGTAACTAAATAGTTATTTATGTAATGTGTTGGCAAAAGGGTGAGTGAGAGGGGAGACGTTCTTCTTTCAAACATTTTAATTTAAAAGGAAATGAATTTTCTTAGGAGTGTGTTATGATTCTTATTCTAATTACCTTAATCTTTCCGTTATCAGTATGGCTCAATGATTTCCACACACATTGTTTCCAGTTGGTTTGTGGTACTACACTTGCTTGACTTGCTTTGGCGCTTTCTCCTTTCTCTCCTCTGTCTCCTTTTCTTCCTTTCATTCCCACAATGCCTCGCTCTCCTTTCATTCCCACAAGTCCATGTTGACCGTTCATTCCCTTTAATCCTCGGGGTCCACTCTTCCCAGGGGGTCCTTCGCGCCCTCTGTCTCCTCTTGCACCCGGCATCCCTTGTGATCCTTTATCACCAATTTGTCCTTTTGAACCTTCCCTTCCCTGGGGTCCGTGTGGCCCCGGGACGCCCGGCACTCCCGGCACTCCCGGTATACCATTTGATCCTGGAATACCAGGGAAACCCATCAGAGGTCGCTGAAAGTAAAGATGACTTGCAATTAGCAGAGACGAAGACGACACGGGATCTTAAATAACTCGGGAGGGGGGAGGGGGAAGGATGTACTCCTGGGAATTCTGGGATGTGCCGCCCGGTTCTCCAAATCCTGAATCTATTTAAGACCAGAACACGTCATTTTTTACACCCGTTTTCAGACTTGGCCTCTAAAATCCATACAAATTTTAGGACCTTGTCTATAAGAAATTATGCATGTCATCATTACTCAGATTAATTCTCCCAGTTTTGGAAATGAAAGGATAATTTCGTTCATACACGCCCGTAGCTTCCTCGCAAACAATGATTCCATACCAAAATGAACAAAGTCTACACCCGCCCGCTGTCTCCCTTGTTTTCGAGGCACAGAATGGACCTTGGACATCATAATCCTATTTAAAGCGTTATCTCGCCTCGAATGGACTTGGATGGAAGCAGAGAAAATTGACAGCTAACAATGGACAGGCTTCAGGTTTTCGAGGAAAGATCATGGTGGATAAAGCGAGGACTTTTAAATAAACTGCCATACACTTTTAACGGGTACTTTTTAGTAACTGATCATAACGACGTGAGAGTAATAAAACGGTTTCTGGGTGTACCTAATCTACGGCGCAGTACTCCTTTTTATATCTTTATGCATTTCTTACCTGGCATAAGTCTTTTAACTCTGTGGCGTTTTGTTGCTGAGGTGAGGTGGTTGTTCCCAGAGAGCCGCCAAAGAAAGAGAGAATCAGGAAAACAGCGAAATACTGAACCATGGCTGTGAGAGTTGAACGAGAACACAGCGTTTTCTGAAATCAGTGCTACGTGCTCATCATTTTATAGAAAATATTTTAAGTAAATCCTCTGTTCCGGTACGTTGTTTGTTTGTTTGTTTTGCTTGTTTCTTTTTCCTTTTATGGCAATTTTTTTGCATCTTCTTATTCCTGTTTTAAAGCTCGCTTCAGGGTACTGAAACAGGGTCAAAAGATGAACATTCTAAAAATAAATTACAGAGCACAAATTTTACAAAAACTGCAAAGTTTTATGCATGCTATCGTGACTTTGTGTTTCTAACGGTACCCGATCCCTTTCCTTTTTAGAGGGTCAAAAAGCCAAAATTATAACTCTGCTTTCAATCCAAGTTGGCTCCATTAAGCTCCAGCTAAACAAGCTTTAACATGTCTAGTGTTAGTGTGTTTATTTTTAAACTCCTATATCTTTTGCCTTGATGGCTGAGTGGGGGGGGGGGGGGGGGGGGGGGGGTGGGAGCGGCTCCCTATAATAACCTTCCTTATTATAGGAAATTAACGCTTTATGAAATTAAGGTATTGGAAATTACGCGACTTAAATTAACGCGAATTTAATGGAAAACGACTTTTGAATAAAGAAAATTAACGCGAAAGAGGAAGTAGAATTTCATAATGAAGGAAATTAACGGGATTAAGACACAGTTAGTGGTGACAACTGGAAAAAGTTTATTTCAACACTGGATGCAAAAAAATTCAAAACTCAACAAAACTGTGTACACATCACTTCTGACAGCGACAACGATGAAGATGAACTCGAAATATTGTAAACCTTCGCCTTAGCTTTCGTGAAAGATGACAAATGGAAAGAAAGAAAGCTTGTAGTTAATGTTTTTTTAGGTGTCAAGAATGTCTGGACAAGTTCCAAAATTTGGGTTAAAATACTGGAAATTAAGAGCGCGGAAATTAACGCTGCAGTTAATTAACGTCGCGGAAATTAACGCTCAACAAAATTAAAGCGACTTAAATTAACGCGAATTTTAACGATTCGCGTTAATTTAATGGAGCGTTAATTTCCTATAATAAGGTATATGGGGAGGCGCTGCCCAAAAGGATACCTCTTTCAAATCAGGATAGACTATTGCACGTTATTTTCAACATTTGACATGGATAAGCTAAATAAATCAATGGAAAGAACACCTTTAACAAGTCTAAAAGTAGGATTTGTTGAAAACCAACGAAGTTTCGCCAAATTTTACAGACGTTTGTATGGTGAGGGCCGGGCACAAACTTGCTTTTCCCCCTCCCCACCCTCCACGTACAAAAGTCTGTCAGTTCTGGCAACTTTACAGAGCTATATCTTAGCACGCATAAGACGTATCACTTTCTCATTTGGCAATGTTACAGCCACTGAAATTAAAATTAAACTTCTGTCAGTACTAGATACACAGGGTGAAATAAGGCGTTTCCGTATTTCGGAAATCTTGCGGAAATCTGATGGTTCAAGTTTCCGTCACATTTCCGGAGGGCGGAAACACGTAAGAGCAAAATGAGGTCGCGTTTCGCGTTTCCGCAGCGTTTCCGCAGCGTTTCCGTTGGCTGAAATGTACAAGGCCGTATCAGTCGCGTTTCCGCAGACAATTTTCTGCGGAAATTTGGTAGCTTTTATCTTCGGTTGATTTAATTTTAAGTAGGCGATGTGCTGCCAAGGATTTCACGGCAACAGCACTATTTTTAATATTTTTCATATAATAAAATTTGTTTTAACTGTACTGATTACGCTTCAGGCAAGATGAGGAATCATTGCATTGACCTAAAATATCCGAAAGAACAGAGATAATCGCCTGCGCTAAACTACACGTCGTAAATACTGGAAAAGTGATAGATGATTCTCTCTGTCTTCCTTTTTTCAGAGATTCAAAGATGTGTCATTAAAATTACTAGCGCTCCAAACATTGACGCGTAATTTGAAACAATTTAGAAACAGCCAAATAAATTATAACGCTTGCACGCATTTTGCCTCGCTCTGGGGGCGCGAGTGTTACGAGCATGCGTGCCTCGTTTTCACGTTGGATTTTGAATCGCGCGCCCTTTTGAATACGGTATTCTTCGCTGTCGGTTCGCCTTCCATTTTGGTGGTTTGTTCATGCAGGAGCATTTTTTTGTCAAGATAAGCGAGGAGAGTGTGATAGATTGCGGAGATAGACTGCAGGGAGAAATAATACTTCGAAAAACTATTTAAACGAAGCGCCAAATCCCATGGAAGCGGTGATGAAGGAGTTCAGTGTTCACTCTTCGCGACTCGAATGCACCCTGAGTGTTTCAACCATCATTGAGAAGAAAGAACGCTTATTTTAAACTGTGGATCCTTGTTGTTTCGTAAGTACATTCTGAATCTTGTTTAAATATATAGAGGCATATTTAAGTCTATGTAATAGCTTTGGGAGCATTTCATCGATGTCAATCATAAAAATCGTTTCACATGTGAGCTTCATGCGACAGCGAGTTGCTTCGTACAGATCTGACCTTTGTATGTTGCCTGTAGTTTCTTTGATAGCATATGCCTGTAAAGCACGTCTTTGTCTGATTTCTTTTACAATAAAGACATAGTTGCTGCATGCACATTTTAATGGCGAAGATGGCAGCCGTAAAATATTTAATCTGGAATGAGGAAACGGAATCACGGAACGGAGTACGGAATCCAATAGCAATGACAGAAAAATATTATATAAAAATTCCTTGACACTGAAATGTACAAAACATTTCCACTCCAATTTCTGAGACTGTAGATGTTTATCACAAGGATAAACCTGTACAAAAATAATATTTAATGTTCATATTAATTTTTTGCAGACAACGTGCATTTCCTTACTACCAATGGGAATTGTTCAAAATTGAAATAAATGTAGTGCTTGTTACGAGACTTGTAGTGTTAAAAGGAACCTTTTCTCTTTGTGTACATGCACAATAACAAGTTTAATATGATGGTGCAGAAAGGTTCTAAAAGTCACAAGATTGTAGAGGGATATCATTTCCTTACACTTCAATTTGTCGTTAAGCTTCGAACACAAGGATAACAGCTTTATTTGATGACAAAGCAACCTTCATTGACACAAGTAAGACGCCCATCTTTGAGTGGGAAGTTGCAATTCTATTTATCCATCTTTGAGTGGACAAAGTAGTGCTTGTGTCAATGATATTTCAAATGTTGCAACAGTCACCAGGAGATAGACAAGAATATCATTCAGGAATATAAATTCCTTACACTTCAATTTGTTGTTAAGCTTCGAACACAAGGATAACAGCTTTATTCGATGACAAAGCAACCTTCATTGACACAAGTAAGACGCCCATCTTTGAGTGGGAAGTTGCAATTCTATTTATCCATCTTTGAGTGGACAAAGTAGTGCTTGTGTCAATGATATTTCAAATGTTGCAACAAGAAGATTTTTCAGAAATATAATTTCCTTACACTTCAATTTGTCGTTAAGCTTCGAACACAAGGATAACAGCTTTATTCGGTGGCAAAGCAACCTTCATTGACACAAGTAAGACGCCCATCTTTGAGTGGGAAGTTGCAATTCTATTTATCCATCTTTGAGTGGACAAAGTAGTGCTTGTGTCAATCACAGGAAAAATAAGAGAATTCCCAATATCTTGAAATTGGGGTTACTTTGGTTCTAACTTGGGCCAAACTTGGGTCTAGTATGGAATTAAACTTGGGAACTGTTTATTTCCCAAAGTAATACCTCAAGTTGGGAAATGGGAACAACTCCCAAGTTATTCCCAACCTGTGCTGAAATAGGGAATTGTTAAATCAACAATATAGACCCATATTTGACCCAAATATAGGGTCTAATTTGGGATATATTTACCCCAAGTTAAACCACATTTAGTCCCATAGTAGAGTTTATCTGAACCCAGGTTTGTCCCAAAGTCATATCCAAGTGGTCCCAAATAGGGTCAGAATTGGGAAAATAACAAGGACCTTTTAGCCTCATATAGTCCCACAATTGGGTCAAACTGATCCCCTCTTTTATTCCTTGTTCCAAGCGCTGTTCAAGTTCTTCCTGAAGGACAGGGTTAAACAGCAATAATTTATTTAGTTGTCACATCTAACTAAAACACCAAACTGATTTTGATATGAAAATGTCATTCTTTTATTTACATAAACTGGAAACACTTACAATGCGTAATGTGGTATTTAACAGTGTAAATTTACATACAATTCCAATTTCGTTACATCAATCATTCACAAAAACTGTACAATGTTCCTGAATTACTTGCCAATAAAATCCACTTGCAAAGTCCTTGATCCCCGAAAACAAATTCCTCACAAGAAGCCTTACACAAAGTTCCCACGCACAGTCCTGCGTTGTTCCTTAAATAGATTCCATCCAGTGGGCCTTTGATGACAAAACTTGAAACAAAATCCGCAATAAAAGTTCCTGATTCGTACTTAACAGAATCCAGTAATCTTGTGAAAGCCAAATCCAAAAGTCAAATCCCGTGAATAAAGGCAATCCGTAAAAAATCCATTCCGTGACAATCGCCGTAATGCAATCAGTAGTCCGCACGTAAACATGTTTTTCAAAATCCAAAATCCAAAAGTTCCCAGAAAACCGCTTCAAAAATGTTCACAATTCATTGCTTCAAGTTCTCAAAACTCTCAAAAGGCAAGGGGAAAAATAGCAAGTACATCTGCTGTAAAAAAACCTCTCAAGACAAAAATTCAAAATGGCAAAAACGTTTTGGCTGAAGACTGCGTACTATCTAAAAATTCAAAGGTGTTCGATTGCAGAGGATCGAAATACACCAATCAGAGAAAGGCATTTTAATTGCGTGTTTCCCGAGAGGTCAGCTTATGCTGAATTACTGCTTTGTGATTGGCCCATCAATTTTATTATTCTTACACATACTTTTAACTGAAACTTTTTCAAAATTGGTTGATAATTTTACAACCTCTGTGTTTCAAATGCCTAAAAGTATAAAATCCTTGCCCAGTTGTTATTTTAAAATCAAATTTCATT